TGACGGAAGATAATCTCGCCGCATTGGGTAAAAATAATTTTTAGAATATTTTTTAAAAGGTAAATTAAAAAGTTGTTTAGATGGTATTGGAATTGGTGTTTGAGAGGTGTTTTAAGAGGTAAAATGAGACAAAAAGGCAAAATATTTGTTGGACAAACAAGACCTTAATATCTGGGAGGCTATTGAGCGCCCTAATTTTTTTCTTTGAGCGCCTTGATTTAGCCAAAAAGACCATTTTACCCCTATCAGTGTTTACAAATTCTCAGTTTCAATTTCATTATTTCAATTCCTAAATCAATTTTTCGAATTCTTTCATTTCTAGTGCCAAAAAAACTCAGATTCAATGGCAGAACGAAATCCACGGCAACGGAAACAGGCACGAGAGCTCAAGGTACGTATATTTTTAGTTTATATTTTGTGTTAAAAAAAAAAAAATTTGACGGCAGACCCAGCGAGGAAGAAACTCGCCGAGGCTTATGATCTGGCACGGATCTCCCGCGCTAAATTTTAAGCCCCGGCGACGGGTTTGTTTGCCAGCCGGGGTAGGGTGACAAGTTTGTTCACCATCCTGGGGGATGTCTCGCCAACCACCGGACCACCTAAGCCACCACCAGACGTCGCCGCCGTTGGATTTCGGTCATATTCCGGTGGTCCGGCAGCGGCGTTGATGGTAGCGGAGATGGTCCGGTGGTTCTCTATAAATATTATTATTTTATTTAAAATATGAGCCAAAAAACTTTTTAAATTTTATCTCAACCATATTTTAAATCACATATCAAACCCAAATAAAAAACTAAAACAAAATATTGGCCAAACAACCCCTTAAATGTCATTGATAATCCTTTTGGAATCTTCAAAAGTGACAAACATTGGACCATTTAGAGATTCAGTTATGATTTTTTTTTTAAGATATGCGATGATTAACACTCTTAACTATGTAAGTAAATTGATGTCCCTTCATCGATGAATCTCTAATTGTGGAGTGCTAAGTCAACGTGAGCTCTTTTTGGGTGCTGCTTTTTACGGTTCATCCGCCCTTTGTTTGATTGAAAGTGATAATTGGGAAATGATCATAAGAGGTGACGATCTTCTTCCCATTAAGCGAAGCCAAATTCCATTTCCGCAAATTGGCCAAGTTTACATGCGGAGATATCTAGGGTTTCTATTGGTTTTGATAGTGTAATTTTCTATTCTATTTCTATTTTCGTTTTTATTATACGTATTGTTGTTGTTGCCTTTAATTCTCGGTTTTTGATCATCAATAATAATGCTTTATATTCTGGATTAATTTTTTAAATTTGAAATATTTATTAAACACTCCCTCCATTTTTTTTTATTTCTTTCTAGAGAAATCATCAAAACCAACAACACATTAATTAATGTAGTTAAAATACAAAATTACCCTTTATTTATGGTCTATACAATTCATCACAAACCAATAGAAATTCATTAGAAATACTGTTTCATTTCCAATGCAAGAGTAATATTGATAAAAAGTAGTCAAATATGTCTCGATTTGTGAAAACGACATATATATATAAAAAATTTACTAAATCCTAAAACGACATATATTTTAAAATAGAGGGAGTAATATTTTCCTTCTACAATTTACACCTTATAATCGGAGTTCTTTAATACATTTTGATATGGCTAACCATAAACCCTACTAATTAACTCACAAAATTCATTTATTTTGAACCTCCTTCTAATTTGAAGATTTCATAATATAAATTTTAAATTTATCTAATCCAATGTGGATATATACAACTAATCTCTACAACATGATTTTTAAAAGTTGTATAATAAAAATTATCACCACTAACTAATGTTATGTTTCGATTAAAAAATATATTTTAAAAATACTTAAATTATGTCTAGATGCCTATGGCTTATTTATAGGCAAAGGGACTTTAGGGATTAGACACAATTAACCGTCCTTGAAAATATAGAATCGATAAACTTAAAAACTAAGTAGCACATAAATATAACTTTAAGAGCTAAAATGACAATAAGTTAAAAGTGAGACTTGATGGTCTCAATAAGCGACACGTGTCGATTATCTTTCTTTCCTTTAATATATTTAATGATACTTTAACTCTTTAATTCAAAATAATTGTTATGTGTCCTATCATAATTAAGTCTATATCCGGTATTTTTCCAATTTGAATGGAGATTTAAAATTATCCTTATATTGGAGACTGTACATTCATAACTATGATTACCACATTTTTTTTTTGATGGAATGTAAACATGTATATAACTCAAAGCACATAATTGTTTTACAACTGTCAATCTATACACATTCTATACTCAGACAACAATTCCTAAGGCAGAGAGGAATTGTTTTTCTGCTAATCTAAATTTCCTTTTGGTATGTACACATTTCCAGCTTAGTTCCTGTTTCATGTTGCCTATTCTCTCATTTTCTGTTTTTTCCACCCCTCCAAATTTCCCGCCATTTCTTTCTAGCCATACATTGTACACAACAGAGTTAACAGATTCAAAGAATATCTGTTGTTTGAACTTATTAAATCTCCATACCATTCTCAGTGCTGCTGCATTCAGAGACTTAACTCTCACCGTTGATCCTATCCACCTTTGCATTTCCTGTAGCAGGTTCTTTGCATAAGAACATGTGAAGAACAGATGGTCAATGCTTTCAGTTGCCTGATGACATAAACAACATTCAGTGTCAGTAACTGGCACATGAAACTTCACTAGCCTGTCTGTTGTCAGCAGCCTGTCATGCCAAGCTAGCCAACTAATGAAGTTGTGCTTTGGGAGACTGTATCAATTCCAGACTATACAAGCAGCAGCAAACTTTTGATCTCTGCCTCTCAACTTCTGATGATAGAGATTGGTTGACTTCCGCACAAGTCGGTTATCTCTAGTAGTGTACGAAGCAACTGTGTCAATACTTTTTTCTTTTTTTTTTTTCCCTTCAGATTTGAAATTAGATGTTTTTTTTTTCATGCATTCAAACATATATGATTAATGATTAAAAAGTTAAAATATAAATGTGATCCAAAATGAAGATTCACACGCACCTTAATGATATTCTATTCATAAGTAACCGAATCACTTTATTAGATAAAGTCACTATTTTAATTATTTTTATCATTTTGTAGTTATGCACAAAGTTTTGCGCATAATTAATGTTTGTTATCTTCTATTCCAGTTTCTGTCACCAGATAATCAAAATATAAGTAGCTTGGATAAATAGGGAGATACGAAACAGGTCGCGATGTTTGATAACGAATTTGAAATCATAAATATCCCTTATTGTGTTTTAGTGACTCAGAAAAGGACTGCTGGGCTGCAGGCCGACCCTCCTAGAGGATTCATAAAATTTAGGCAGAGCCCCTTGTTTGACAACAAATAAAATAACGATCAGACCTTGACTAAGAGAAAATGATGAAATAGACAAAATATTGTGTTAATTGGATGAGTCTTTAACGTGGGTGCTTCGGTCAAAAAAATTTCCAAAAAAAGATGTGGAAAAAATTATTTTTTTTCTATTTTTGATGGACAAAACTAGTTGTCTCGAATTCGCCAAATCCGAATTTATCCATTTTGTACTGGCAAATCCGAATCTACCCAATAGAATTGATTCATCACATAATTGTAATGCAAGGAGATTCGGATTTGCCAAATCCGAATCTAGTACAAAATGAATAGATTCGGATTTGGCAAATCCGAGATAACTAGATTTGTCCACATAACTCTGGAACATGTATTTTTGTCCAGGTCCTTCCATTAAAAATTATTTGGGTAAAAAACTAACAGTTAGTTCCTTCTTTTCTCTCCGTGTTGAATAGCATCTCACTTTTACTTGTGTCTTTCATCCATATCCTTAACTTGTAAAAGGTCGTGAATTCAATCAATTCATTTCATCTCTAAATTTCATATTTGTCTTCTATTTTTTTTTTACATCAATCTAACTGAGAAATTTAGATTTGAGTGGTGGGTTTTCATGGATGTATATCAAGTCTTTGATGAGGGTTTTTAGACGAACTATTGTCTTATTTGTTAAAAAAATTGTTTTTAATATGAAGGGTGTCATCCATATCTTTCTCACCCTTTCTTTTTCCGATAAAATAGAAATATACAACTACATCATAATACATTACGAGAATATAACATCCAGATTATACACATAACTATTATGCTACTAACATGGTGGTATATCTACCGTATAATCTACCTTTTCCTATTTAATAATTGGATGAGATGAGCAATACTTTTCTCTCCCTATCTCTTTAGTTTTGTCTTTTTTTTAAAAAAAAAATTGTTTTCAAAAACTTTTTTCTCTTCTATTTAGTTTTCGTTCTTATAGGGAATGAAGCAAAATGCTCTAATTATACAAATGCATTTTGCAATGTGATACTTTTATCGTGTCACTCTTGTTCATATACCATTCGGATTTAGGAAGTTAAATAATGATAACTTAGTAAATTTTTTACCACGAAATAAAATGAAGTACACTGTAATGAAATTCACCTGCCCATAAATATTTATGAAATTAACGCTGCACGTAAATTTAACTTGAGTAGTGACACGAACTCACAATTCCCTTAGGCCGTCATGGATTCTATTAAGCATTTAAGCCCATGGAAAAGCCCGCCAACATTTTTACTTTTCCAGGTAAAATGTCGGTTTTTTCTAAGCATTTTTTCCTCAACATTCGGAAAATTCATGCAATTCCCAATTCTATCAGGTATTCAAAGATTATATTTATGTGTTGGTGTCGATTTTATGGAACTTCAGGGACTGTGTGAGAAAAATGAGGGCCGAAATCCATCCATTTCAGGGAAGGAAGACTTAAAGAAGTCCTCTTTGAAATTTGGCAATCGGTTGTCGGCCTCCCTTCTTGTCTCTTTCAACCTAGCGGAACTTGGACAAGATTTGTTGAGGGATATACAATTCCTATAGGCTATAAAAATAAGACGAACCTCCAAAGAATCGAATAAATCATTCATTCATTTTCTTACAAAGCAAACATTTCCTCTTCTTCGTTTCCTCAATGGCAGAGCATTCGACAACCTCTTCCGAATCCTCCTACATCCAGAGCTCAGGCAACAACAATTACATCAATCTCAATTTCATCTCTATCACAAATCATTTCCCTCAAAACTATTACCATCATGATGATGATCTTACCACTTCGCCATCTCGCCATTCGATTCTCACCTTTACCGCATCAGCTTTGATTAACTTTATAGAGATCAAGTACCAAGGAAAGGATGAATCCCCATTTGAAACACATCCCAGAATCATGTTATTAGCAGTTACAAGTTTGATTCTGTATTTTCTAGCATTTGATGTCAGTTCAAGATTCAGTGCTTCAAGTCTTACTGCGATTATTTGGCGATTCATGATGGTGTTCTTTGGTCTTCTGTCACTGGCAGCTCTGCTCTCTGTTCTTCTCCCAGAGTCGCTCTGCCCTTTTGTAATCTCTGTATCAATTTTGTTTTCGTTGCGTGAATTTCCATTATCCAAGATTGTGTTATACTCATGGAATGCGATTCGAGAAGCTTTCTTCTGGGTTGAAATCTCTTCAGTGGAGCAGCAACGCCAGCCAGATGGATCAATCAGACTAGTGACAGAGTATCCCTTTAGACTCCTAGAAACTGTCTTTATGGAGGAACATGAGATAGACACACTTCCGGTGTAAAAAGAGAGGCAGTAAATTTCGTAAATCTGATTTCAATAAATTTGATTCCACCTCCCCCCACCACATGACCGCTTTCATGGATTGTTACTGAAGGTTAAGTTAGATAATTGAAGGTAAAAAGAATGAATTATTGTATAAAACTATAGACAACTTGGGAGATATGCTCAAGTTTGTTACCATGAAAGGTAGACCCTCTGGGATCTGCACCTCGTACTTTTCTTTCTCTTAATATATATTTTTTTTTCCACAGACCCCATTTTAATGCAAATTAGGACGATATTTACACATAACGCAACATGAAACTATATGGATTGTGAGTTTTTGTATCATCAGATTACGTAATATGTGAAACATACGTGTTAAAGTGTAATATTTATTCCACGTGCCAGTACGAAGAGAAGTGACTCAGTATACAAGTTCTAAAGGCCACCTCACTCATTGCTCATTGATTTTGAGATAGGAGTCCAAAATACTTATACATTTTGACATGGTATCAGAGTGTTCTGGGCCTGTGGTGAAATTTTAAACCAGAAGTAGCATGTGGTGATTTTAAATTGACTCACTTGAGCGTAGATTTGTGCACTTGTTGTCAGCCGATCCAGCTGTATAACTAGTTTTCTCCCAGTAGATTAACTCGTGAGCTTGTTGTAGATCGATCCAGCCGTATAACTGATTTTCTCCCACTAGAACATTGACTTGTGGGTTTGTTATGGACCAATCCAGCGGTATAACTTTTTTCTCCACTAGAGTATTGACTCGTGGGCTTCTTGTAGACCGACCCATCGGTATAACTGGTTTTTCTCCTACTAGAGCGTTGACTCGTGGGTTATGCTATTCTTGTTTTGATCTAAATCTAATATGTAAAAAAAGTGTTCAAACACCCATTGGACTTGAGGGGGGTGTTAAAGTATAATATCTGTCCCATATCGCCAGCGTAAAGAGAAGTGATTCAATATATAAATTCTAAAGAACACCACACTAATTGCCAACTAATTTTGAGATTGAAACTCAAAATACTTATATATTTTGACAATAAAAATATCCTTTCTACCACTTAGTGAGTTCCTGTCGTTCCCTTCTCAGTGCGAGACATTCTTCTCCCTCGGGTGAGAAAGATGTCGAGCCTAAAGGAAAGAAGACACTCATTGTTAGCAGGTATTCAAAAATGAAAAAATTATATTTGTTAATTATTATTAACAAGTCAAAATGAAGCTATACATAAATCACATTACAAGTTTTAATCTATTCTTATCTATATTCTTATATTCTCTTCGTCCCAAAAAAATAGTTCAAATTGAGTTTTATAAATTATATTAAAATTAGTATAAATAGTAAAACTTATTAATGTGAATTATTTTTTTAGGAAGGAGAAGTATTTTATTGTGAATTACAAATGATCATATTAATTGAATGATTGACAAAAGCATATGTTACAAATGTGAGATACAATATATTGTTCTACGGTCCAAAGTCCAAACTGTAGAGCTTTTCTACGTTCTTTATTTGTGGGGAGCCCTTTTGGTTTTGGTGAGACTAAATCGAGGGAGGTTATCCAAATTTCGACATTTTTTTTTAGGCTATGAAAATTGATATTACCTTCCCCTGGGCCGCACGTGCTACAATAGCAATTACAATGGGAAGCAAGACTGCAAGCCAGAGCGAATCCGGAAAGATTGCCTCAGTTCAGATTATTCTCTACAACTCTGGAACATGAAGTTGGAATCGCTGAAGTATAGGGGGAAAAGGACCAAGAGAAATCGAATTTGCAATCTAGTTAACACATCTGATTATTTATTTCAAACCCGTTGGCCATGAGGAAAATGAGAATTTTTACATCAATATGTAAATTTTATAGGCTACTGTTCTAATTTTAAGGTAAAACTCGATGACTTTTTACAAAGAGAATATGAAATAAGATGAGTGAATTAATATAACATCTTGAAGGTAATGAATGAAATTTGAGTTAGTACCTTGGAAGCATCTTGGAAGAAAAAGAATTTTACATTGGCCGCATTAAGAATGTGAGACCATAAAATATAAGTTTTTTTGTAAGTCACTTTCACTGATAATTAGTTCTAAGATGGAAGCACGATCACTTTTAGCAAAATATTTACCCTATTTTAATAACATTAAAACTTCCTACAAAACAAAATCAAACTATGATTAGGTTGAGGCCCAGGGGGAAGAGAGTACTACCATTAGCAACTCTCCACTCGTTTCCACATCTTATTCGGAGTGTTCGGATGCACACCACCTCACCAATTTACTGTTGAGATTATGCAAATAGCTATGCGGCTAATTATTGGATGCTATACATAAGGGCAAAATATTTTGTGACATTTTTTTTATTACATTGCAGTGACATTATTTATATGAGTGACTTCACGTACCATTAAGTTAGGAAATTAGTATTATCATAATAACACGTGTTAATCATTAAACTAATGTACACTAAGTATAACACGAAAAACGTGTACGTCAGACATAACTGGCTGCAATTAACGTTCATTCAGATACTTCCTGTGTAGTAAACTTATTGTCTATTTTGGACTCTCACTTTTAGTTCAATTTATACTAAAATTGAAAACTTAAACTGAATAATAATTTCATAACGGAGGAAGCATAAAATACTGGTATTTTGTTAGATTAAAAATGGTATTGGAGAGTTTTAACTTTTATGAAAAGAATCTAGGACAAACTGAAATATTATCAATTTACCAAATATTACGGATCGATTATTTTACTAAATTAATGAGCTGTGAGTATGTTGTTACTGTCCAAAATCTCAAATTTAAGAACTTTAATACTGCATCTGATGACAAACGAGAAAAATGAGCATAGTTCCGTCACAACTTGTTTTTATCCTCATGGAACAATTGACCTCGAACACTTCGATCGTGTCTTCGTTACTTTCTAAGTTAATTATTTAAGCAAACGCCTTCCGTATACTTCGACTATCAAGCATAGTTTTGATAATCCGAGTTAACCAATTATAATTTGCCTGAACAGTATCTTTTAATAGGTTGTCATTTGTACTATCCACTTACGATAATGACGACATTGTAGGAATATAAAGGGAACAGTTTGTGGGTTTTCTCACATTGATCCACAATAGTCAATGGCAGGGGATTCAAGTTCAACCACCAATTTCAATTGCTTTATACACAGTTTAGGCAAAAACAATTAACATCAATCTCAATTTCATCTCTACCTCAAACCCTTCTCATCATTACCCTCATCCTGATCAACCCATTTCATTGTCACGCCACTCCATTCTTACCTTCACAGCATCAGGTTTGATAAACTTGATAGAGATTTTTTTTTTTTTTATCAAGGGAAGAATGAATCCCCGTTTGAAAAACATCCCAAAATCATGTCCTTAGCCGTTGCGAGTTTGCTTCTGCATTTTCTAGCCTATGATTCCAAATCAAGATTCACTTCAAGCGTTAATGTGGGAATTTGTCGGATGATGATTGCATTCTTCGGACCTCTGTCATTGGCAGCTCTGTTCTCTGTTCTTCTCCCGCAGTTGCTCTGCCCTGTTGTATTTTCGGTATCGATTTTGTTCTCATTGTGCGAATTGTCATTATCCAAGATTGTTTTACTATTGTGGAAAACAATTCGAGAAGCTTTTTGGGTTGAAATCTCTTTAATGCAGCAGCTGCAGCTCCAGCATGGAGGATCAGGAAGATTAGTGACAGACTATCGCTCAAGGCTCGTACAAAATGTCTCTACAGGGGAACAAGAGATACACGCACTTCCAGTGTAAAAAAGGCGGAGTAAAGTCAGCAAACTGCTCAAAACTTGAATTCAATAAAATTGATTTTACCCCAGATGACCTCTTCTCCTTGATTCTCATGTCTCACTGAAGGTGAAGTTGGATAAGTTTTAAGTCAAAGTATCCCGGACATGAAGAATATTCTTTTGGAAAAAGAACTAAAAAGAAAAGTTACTCTAGAAATTAGACTCGCTGTCCTCTAGTGTGCTCTTTTTCTTTCCTTCACTCCCTTGGTCTTTTGGTGGAAGTTACATGGACTGTACCATCAAATTAAGTAATACTGTGTCTTAAAGAGTATGGTTTTTTACGTAGCGAGAACCTATATGAATCGATCAAATACTTCGAATCAGTAATCAAATTCTTAATCGCGTCCAATAATAAATGATAGTAAAGATCTCCCCAATTAAGATTAAATATTACCTAAAAATTATAATAATAATAATCAAGCCTTCTAAAGTTACGACTTTTAATCCAACAAATGGAACACCGTTAACCTAACACTCTAATTTCAATAACCACTCATGAACCAAAATAAATTATAAAGCTAATTCAATCACCATCAAATAGACCAGAAGAATTAGATTTAAAAAAACTCTCAGTTTTATAAGATCAATAATAATTACCGTATATAGAGCCGGCCAAAGCCTTTAAATAAGAAAACTATAAAATAAACCTTGATCTCTATGAACGTTAAATTACTAAAATAACCTCACACTTATATCGTAATATATAGTGATTTCAAATCATCCATCCAACTTGTGCTATAAAACATGTAATATTAGTGTGAATACACTATTTGAATCATTGCAACTAAAATTGTGATTCACGATAAAATGATTACCAGAAAATAGGAGCCAAGACTGAAATACGTTAAAATTCTTAATTTCATCGTCAGATTTGTGAAGTTGCGCTAAAATTCCAAGACAATAACGTACAAAAAATAACTTTAGCAATTGATATGTTCTCATTCTATGAGTTTTTTATTTTTGAATTTCTGAAACGAAGAAAGAGGCAATAATAACATTTTTACGCACCCTTGGCGTAATAGGAGTCAATCCCCATTCAAACTTGTATTTTGGAAACTAAAAGCCATTATGTACCATGAACGATAGGGTTAGTCACTATTGTCAATAGTGAAAACTTTGTAATATAAAAGAAACCTATCTATCCCGTAAAAATTTGCAGCAAAATCAAGATAAAAAGAAAAAAGAATGAAATTAGATCCAGAAGTCTTTCAAATAGACATGACGAATTTGCTCAGTGACGACGGCAAAATTGGACAGGATTAATTGAGCATATTCATTCAAAAGGCCTAGTTCTCCCCTCTGCCCG